AAGGCTTCACAGAGGAGGCATCCGGGAAGCAGGGCCTTGAAGGGGAGAGAGAGAGGCTGCAGCAGAGAAGAGGAAGAAAGGCGTGCAGGCAGAGGGATCAGCGTGGGAAAGGTGTGGCTCAGGATCAGGGAAGGAGGGAGGACCCGGGAATGTGGACATCTATTCTGAGGAGGTGACAGAGGGTGTCTGGACAGGGGGTGGGGAGGAAGTGAAGGCAGAGGTTGGCTAGGGCCCTGAGGCCAGGCTGAGGAGCTCGGACTTCATCTGGTGGGCAGTGGGAACCATGAGCAGGAGAAGCAGATTACAGGTAAGAAGTGGCTCTGCCTGCTCTGAAGAAGACAGACCGAATGGAGAAAGCAGGAGGCAGGAAAGCCAGTGCGAAGGCTCAGGAGCTCCGAGGAAATGCTGGAGTCCAGCAATGACCCTCAAGGTCAGCCCTCTGACCTTGCTTTCCCATGGGCTCACTAAGATCCTGCCACAGTGGCCAAATGAATGTTCCTTGAGTGCCACTGGCACACTCCTGCCCCAGGGCATTAGGACATGCTGTTCTCGGGTTCAGAACACTCTTCCCCTGACGTCCATACGCCTCCCTCCCTCTCTTCCTGCAGGTCTCTGCCTAACTGGCCCCTTTCCTGGCCGTGCTGGTTAACCCCCAGCCCAGCACTCTCTTCTCTGCAGACCTTTCTCCACAGCACCTTTCGAAATACTATGCGTTTATTTGATCTTGTCACTTTCACCCCTACTTCGTCTGTCTTTCTAAAAGATAAAAACTTTCAGCCTCAGCCACAATGGCGCAGGAGGCAGGGCACCGCTGCATGATACTGGAGTCACACGGGAGACCCCAGATTTGGATCCGGGTCCTTCTGAACACGCCAGGCATGGTTGAAGGTGCAACAAGCTCCTGGCTCTCTAGAAGGCTGTGGGAGGGAGGGTCATAGCATGGAGAGACCCTGTCAAGGGTCCCAGTCTCTCCATCTCTCAATAAAACAAACTTTAAAAAAAAAGATGGTTTAAAAAAATCATCTCAATAGCACTATCACACCTACAACACAATGACACCAAATAGCCAGCTAGCATTCATCTTCCCCCAGCTGCCTCATGGTCTCGTGATTCCAGTCTCTGAATGGTCTTGTTCCTGCTCTCTGCTGCTGGGATCCCAGCGACACAGGGCTGGGATCTTTGCCTCGTTCTCCACTGTGCCCCCAGCACCCAGGGCAGTGTTTGGCACACGGGAGGTGCTCAGTAAATCTCACTGAATGAATGAGTGCCAAGCCGCAATGATAATAGCCGGAGACCGACCTCGTGGGTGTTTTGTGTTTCTTACAGCTATTTACTGTGTTACCTCATCTAACTCTTACAACCTCCCGAGGAGGTAGGGGAGGTGATAAGCTGGTCCGTTTTATAGTTGAGGAAACTGAACCATTTGGCCAAAGAACTCACAGCTTGAAAACAGCCAGGGCCCAAGACCCATCACATGGACTGGGCATCTGCGGCAACTGGTGGAGGGCGGGGGTATGTGGCCTTCCAAGAACTGCCCTTCACCTCACATATATCCCCAGTCCAGCCACTTTCCACTGACTCTGACAACCACCCTCTTCTGGGCTGCCATCTTCTCCCGCCTGAATCAACATAGCATTGTCCTGGCAGCTGCTCATCTCCATTTTTCTAATGCCCACTCTCCAGGCTGCATGTAGTGGGTGGAGCCCAAGGAAGCTGTGAAACACCCTACAGTGCCGAGGACAGAGAGTGAGCCGTCCTCAAATATCAGTGGTGCTGCGGTTGAGAGACCAGACATGATCTCCATCCAGGGTGTGACAGAAGCAGCTGAGAATCATACTTCCAGCAACGTGTTAGTAATACTGGTGGAAGTTCCAAAGTGTATAAACAAATTATTTTTTCCATCAATTGGTGTGTATTCTCAGTTATCTCTAAGAGGACATCATTAATCTGTTTTTTGGTTTGTTTTTTTTTTTTAGAGGTTTTTGCTATAGTGCGTGTGCACTTGCCAGAGAGACAGAGAGACAGAAAGTGAGAAATCACCCTCTAGGGGGGATAGCCATGCCACAATCCCTTCTCCTCCATTCTCCTCTCAGGATCTTGGGCACGCACGCACACGCGCCCGGCATGAGTTTTAAGCCACCGGGTCTGGGTCTTGAACCACGGTCGACTACATGGAAGTCCAGCGATGTAAGTCCAGCGATGTGATTATGCTATCTGCTGGTCCCAACATCATTGATCTGTTTAACACATTTTTTTTTTTTTGGAGAGGTTTTTTGCTATAGGGCATGTGCGCTCGCCAGAAAGACAGAGAGAGACAGAGAGTCAGAAAGTGAGAAATCACACCCCCCTTCCCGGGGGAGATGACCACGCCACAATCCCTTCTCCTCCATTCTCCTGTAGGGATCTTTGGCACGCATGCACATGTGCCCAGCATGAGTTTAAGCCACTGGGTCCGGGACTCGAACCACAGTCAACTATGTGGGAGTTCAGCGACGTAGCCATTATGCTAACTGCTGGTCCCTCTGTTTAACACATTTATTGAATGCCTACTCTGTGGCAGGTACTGAAGATACACCAGTGAACAAAACAGACAAAAATCTGCCCTTTGAAGCTTATATCCAAGGAGGGCACAGAGAAAGAAACTGCATGATTAAGTAATTACATGCTGTGTCATGCAGAGATAAATAAAGCAGGTAAGAGAGCTGGACAGAGCTCGGGGTCCTACTTTATACAGGGTGGTCAAAGATGGCCTCACTGAGACCTGAATAATATGCATCAAAGAATATAGTAAACAGAGTCAAAAGGCAACCTACAGAATGAGAGAATTGATATTGATATTTGCAGATCATATATCTGATAAGAGATTAGTACCCAAAATATATAAAGAACTCTTACAGCTCAATGACAACAACAGAATAACCCAATTTGAAAATGGGCAGGGTGCTGAAGGTGGCATGGTGGTTAACATGCTGTATTTCCACATGGTTGGCCATGATTTGAGTCCTGGACCTGGTGGCGTCCTTTCTCACTTTCTCTGTCTCTCTCTGGTCAAATTAAAAAATAATAATAAGTAAAATTAAATAAAATAATTCTTTAAAAGGAAAATAGAAAACGGGCAAAGGACTCAGGTAGACATTTCTCCAAAGAAGATATACAATGGATCAAGAAGCACATGAAAAGATGCTCAACATCAGAAATTACTAGGAAAATGCAAATTGAAACTGCAAGGAGGTATCGCCTCACCCCCACTAGGATGGCTACTATAAAAAACAAAAATAGAAAATAGCAAGTGTTGACAAGGATGTGAAGAAATTAGAGCCCTTGTACACTGTTGGTGGGAATGTAAAATGATGCGGTTGCTATGGAAAACAGTATGGCCATTCCTTAAAAAATCAAACATAAAATTACCATATGATCTAGCAATTCCACTTCTGGGTACATACCCAAAAGAACTGACAGTATGGACTCAAAGACGTATTTGTACTCCTTGTGCATCATAGTCACAAGAGCCAAAAGGTGCCACCCGGGCGTCCACTGACGGACGAGCACATAAACAGCGTGAGTATATACATACAATGGAATATACCCAGCTTCAGAACACATGCTTCAACAGGAAGGAATCTTGAGGACGTTATGCTGAGGGAAATAAGCCAGTCACAAAAATACAAACACTGCATGATTTCATCTAGACGAGGTCCTCCAGTAGTCAAATTCACAGAGTAAGAAAGCTGAAGGAGGTTGCCAGGGGCAGGAGTGGGAACAGGAAATCCCAGGTTATGCCTACTTTACCACAATTTTGTGAGGCTTACCTAGGGGTTATATTTCAGTTGTACCTAGACACGGGTGATCCTGAGGCGCAGCCAGGGTAACAGCCACCACTCTATGAGATATGCCCTATTTATTGTCCTTACTTCCTAGTCTCGGAGAGGTGTCCCTTGAGGACTCATACAGCCAGGAGGTAGAAGAGAGAGATTTGAACTCAGGCCATACCCAGGCTTGGACAAGTGGGTCTCACGGGTTAACTTTACATCTTGTTATGCATGTCACCAGGGAAAAAATGACAAAAAATTGGCACCCTGGCTATTAACATGTGCATTCTGGCTCCTTCCCTATCTGCCCCTCTCCATGTGAGGCTTGCAGTGTTCCACCTGTCCCTGTTGCTATCTGGCAATGCCCACTCTTACCACGGCACCAAATCAAGAAAATCCCATCTCAGGGAGAAGGTAAGACCTAATAATTTAGAGTATCTATTGAAGTAATGCTTGGTGTTGGTCGCCAGTGGTGGTATGGAGGTTAACACAAAGCTCGGCAATGCTGAGGCCACATGAGGAGGTCCTGAGTTCACATCCTGAGCCTTCCCCTTACATGCTAGGTGTGCATATGCCTGCGACCCTGGCTGGCTGAGGCTGGGGGTGGATGGAGGCATGAAGACCCTGTGTTGGGGATGATTATCTCTGTCCTCTATCTTTTTCTCTCTTGTAGAAAAAAAATTAATTTTGGGGGGAAATAATGCTTAATGCTAAATCTGTCTTTAAAAAAACAATTTAGAGGGCATGTTGTCAGAGAGAGAAAGAGAGAGAGGAGAAAGCCCCACCCCCAACCCCCAGAGCATAGTCATGCCACAATCCCTTCTCTTCCATTTCTCCACCCTGTTAGGATTTGGGGCAGGTGTATACACATAGCCAGTTTGTTTGTCAAGCTACCAGGGCTAGGATTCAAACCATGATTGGCCATGTGGGATCTGGCCCCTAACACTGTCTTAACCACTGTGCTACATGGCCAGCCTCTGCTTTAAATAGCCCCTTAAATGTCCCTTTGGGGACAAGGCTGTTCTGGATCAGGAGCCAGGAACTCTCCCAAGCTAGGTGGGGGAGACTCGACAAATCTCACCTTTCAGCACTGTGAAAAGGGAATGCTGGGGAGAGCATCCTGGAGCTTGCATCTGACTTCCTGAGGGCCATTCACTCACCCGGGCGTGGGCTCAGCAGGTGGGGAGCGCAGGTAGGGTTTGTCCCATCATCTCATCTACTGCATGACCTTGAACCAGCCACTCTGCCTCTCTGAGCCTCAGTTTCTACAATGGCGAGATGAGGATAATTATCCCTACGTCATGGGGTGACTGGGAATCAGCTGCAGCAGTGCACTTAATGCCCTCTCACTGTGCCAGGTGCATTTCAGCACCAGAGTGACAGCTGTCGCCGCTGCGGCTGCTGCTTTCATATTATCCGAGAGATGGAGCTAAGGCTGAAGCGACCGGCCGGCCCTAGAATCTTCTTCTATAACGATCTCCAGCAGGAGTTTGGCTGTAAGATGTTACCCTTGCCCACACTACATCAAGACACCGATTAAATGAGGGTCCCCGCAGAGCTGTGGTTGCTTTATCTAGAACCTGACCCTAGGTAAGAACCTGAGCACAAGTGTTTTATGTGGGAAGTGACCCCAGAAACTCCGGTAGGGGAGAGGAGAGGTGACACAGGGATGGGAAAGAGGTTGAATGGGGTGTCATCAAGCAAGAAGCTGCTGTGGACCTCTGAAGCTTCATCCTGCTGAGGAACTCGAAAGCCCGTGTAGACTACGCAAATCGGTTACACTCATCCGGGGCAAGAGAGTAGGGGTGCTGCTATGCCTTCTCCCATCAGTCAGCAGCTGAGGGCCGCTCCTGGCAGAGCATTAGCTCCGTCGTTATTGGACTCCAGGGGCTGGAAAAAGCCTCTCGACTTCACTGAGCATGTATCATTTTATAAGAATAATTTTTTGAAAAGAAACGTATTTATCTTGTGAGAGAAGGATTAAATGAGATGAAATTAGAGGGGAAAAAAATGAACAATTACTGAGGGCTTTCTATA